TTTGGTTGGAGTCCATGTTTCTGGTCCATAGGTCACAGACATATATATATATATATATATATATATATATATATATATATATATATATATATATATATATATATATATATACACATACATACATACATACGTATACACACACACACACACACACACACACACACACACACACACACACACACACACACACACACACACACACACACACACACACACACACACACACACATATATAAATATATATATATATATATATATATATATATATATATATATATATATACACATACATACATACATACATACATACGTATACACACACACACACACACACACACACACACACACACACACACACACACACACACACACACACACACACACACACACACACACACACACACACACACACACACACACATATATAAATATATATATATATATATATATATATATATATATATATATATATATATATATACACACATACATACATACATACGTATACACACACACACATACACACACACACACACACACACACACACACACACACACACACACACACACATGTATATATATATATATATATATATATATATATATATATATATATATATATATATATATATATATATAAACGCATATATACATATATATACACATACATACATACATACATACATACATACATACATATATATATATATATATATATATATATATATATATATATATATATATATATATATACATAAATACATAGATACCATGTATAGGGTTGCATAAGGCTCGGGAGGCCGAGGGCGGCGTCGTTGCCACGGCAATGCAACCGCCAATTAGAGTTGCACAATAAAAAGGTCGGCCTAAGAGGCAAAGGTTGATTCCAATTAGCGCGAAGCCCTCCAGCTTGGGAGCCAATTAAATGCGAAGTCCTACAACTTTATTAGCAAAAACACCGGCGGCGGCGCGGCTGTTTTACGAGCCGGGCCGCTACACCTGCCCTTGCTCCGCCGGCGCCTTCGGCCGGAGGAGCAGCGCGGCCGAAGGAGGGGGAGCTGCTCCTTGGGCGTGAAGAGGCACTCGCTGGCGGCAGTAAACGGCCGGTTTATGGCTCCGAGGGCACTGCCAGGGCCAAAGGGCAACTTTCTTGAATCTTTTCACACCGACATATCTAACATCAGCAATGGTTTACAACCGTCGACAAATACATACACACGTGTATATGTGTGTGATTGAATATGTATAATGTATGTGTATACCTATGAACGTATGTATGTATGTACAAATGAGTATGCACGGTGTGCGTGAGTATGTGTGTATGGAAGTGTACATATCTGCCTGTCTGTATGCATGTATGTATCTTGTGCGTATGTATGTATGCATATATGTATGTATGTACGTATTCATATACGAATGTGAATGGATACATATATACGCATGTATGTATATATATATATACATGCATGTGCGCGCGCGCGCGTGTGTGTGTGTGTGTGTGTGTTTGTATATATTATACATGTATATAAGTATGTATTATTTATGTATGTATGGATGGATATATGCATGTACATATGTGCGTGTATGTATGTATGCATACATGTACGTATGAAAATATGTTTCCTAGTTTGTGTCTCTGTGCGTACATGTGTTTGTATGTATGAATGTATACCCTGGGGTGCCGGCAGCGCCTGTGCCATATCATTATTGCAAGGCGCGGCCGTCGGTGTGAGGTGATGGGGGGGTGAAGGCTGCCCCCGGGACGGCAGACATGCAGGCTGCAGCACGCAGGCCGAAACCAGAACTTAGGTACAACATACCGTCATGTCTTTTGCATCAGCCTGTGCCTGCTTTCTCTGGAGGGACCTGCCTAGTTCGCTTTTTGGTATTCAATTTGGTTAAATTATATCTGTACAAAGAATTCTCTTATACGATGTCCAGGGCATAGGAATAACACTGACTCAATGAATATGGCGTTATTTATCTTATTCTACTGTGTCCTTTTGTCATCCAGTATATTCCTCGCAAACTGAGTAAACGGAGAAATAAACGGAAAAATAAACAGTGACCAAGAAATGTGAAAACCTTGTTACCGTCAGTAGCTAATGAGTGAAAACAGCAGTACGAAGAGATGACCTGCACTCAAACCCGCACTACCGGTGGGTGGCATCCCGGCCACTCCTTTTGCACGAGGATAATTTAGGAGCACAATAGACAGATAGCCGCAATCTGATTAAAGTCACAAGAGTCCGTCACACCAAACCCTAGATCATTCTCATCCTTATTATCATCATGCAAAATGCATGCTAGTTTTGAAAAAAAAGGCCTACATGAAAGTGATTTGTCGTGGAAAGTCCAAATGCCCTATTATACCAGGGAATCCAACAGCCATGCTTCACCCGAGCACCATGAGATCTGTCAACTCAGCGCTGTAGATACCCGGCCAATACACCTCCGTTGACCCCAGTTCTTTAGGAGTGAAGTCCCATTAATCTTGGCT